CTGGGGTCCAGCGGCTCAGTGCGACACCGGCCACGTCACCCTGAGCCCTGGGGACAGGCAGACCCCCGCCCCTTTGCTGACCTGCGGAGGATGACCTTTTCTCCCCTGTTAGGTGACGGTGTCCTGTGACGACGGCTGGACGCTGACGGGCTGTAACGCCCATTCCCAGAGCCCCGGCACCATGGGAGCCTACGCCGTGGACGATACCTGCGTGGCAGCCAGCATCCCTGGCAGCAGCGTGGCTGCAGTCGTCGCCATTTGCTGCCGGAGCCAGCCGTAGGGATGGGGCGAGCGGGTGACGCGGCTGCCCTGGCCTGGCGTGCCCGGCGTAGCAGGGATGGGTGCCTTGCCGGACTGCTGCGTTGCTGGCTCGGTACCTTCCCGGGGCTGAGGTGCTGCTCCCAGCATGGTCCACGCTCCGACACACGGCTGCTGCTGTGACGGTGGTGTACAAACTCGTCGCCCTCTCGCGCACAGCGGGGCCGAGACCCCGGGGGCTCTGCAAATGCTCTCCGAGCAGCCCCCGTGCAGCTGGAGCCCTGCCCCATCACAGGAGTCATCACGGCATCCTTCCCCCACTGCACGCCGGGTCTTTCTATAAAACCCTGACTCTACAAGCTGTCTCAAGGCTGTTTGTTTGTGTTGGCACCCAGCATATGACAAAACCACCACCTTTTAAAAAAAATATTGTGGTGAGGATTGCTCCTTTCTTTCCTGGTTAGTTGCTCATTAGATGTCAGCTAATGGCGCTTAGCACCTGGAAAATCATAGTTTAGTCATTTTTAGACAGTTTTATAATTGCCTATTCATGTACCTAGGAGACTTCTTTACTTTTTAGTCAAGTGTAAGGGCTCTAGTTTAAAGTCTGCTTGTTTAATTAGATTTTAATCTGCATTGCTACAGAGTCAGCTACTGCTTTGTTAGTTGTTTTTCTGTCGTTAAGTCAAAGTTAATGATCTGCTGGTGTTACGCACTGCTTTAACAGTTTCCCTTTCAGGGCTTCCCAAGACACTGTAATTCCTTTTTAGAAAGAAAAAAAAAAAAAAGGAAGAACAAAAAGCTTTCATAGTACCTTGGTTTTTACATTTGTACCTTAAATATTTATTTGAAATTTTATAAATAAACATTTTATAAATGTCTTTTTCAAATAAAATTCACAGACTAGTGCTCAGTAGATATGATCCATCGTCTGGCTTCATGTACATCCCCGTGGGGAACCGGTCTGGAAGGGGGAGCTGGCACCCGTTGGGCAGGGATACTGCTCCCCAAAATGAGCTCTGCTTCGTTAGCGAGCCAGCCATGGGCCACCACCTTAGGCTCTGATCCCTGCCTCTGGCAGGAGGTGCCCCTGAACAGCCATGGGCATCCTCAGAGGTCAGCACAGACAGCGTGGGCACCCTCCCCTCACCCACAGCTGGCCTGAGCTCTGGGGCTGGCACAGAGACCAGGGGCTCAGTCGTCTTGTCCCATGCACATGCAATAACTGAGTTTGTTGCTAAAACAGTAGTGTAGGATAAGAGCTTCCAGTTACGGAAACAAACCATGATCCAGCTTTAGGGAACATGCCCTTGTGTTTTTTGTTGCTGTTGCTAGTAACACCGGGCTTCACTCGGTAAGAATTGAAGCCCCAGAAAGAAGATAAAGCATAGATGCTCAAAGAGAGATGCACAGCAGCAGAGAAAGGCTGAGAAGTACCAGAAGCCACCAAAGCGGAGTCTCACTTTTTTGGGGTGATTAGCAGCCTCCTGGTACTACAATATATAATTTGTGTGGTGTTACCTGAGGGCAGATGAAAAAATAAAGCTTGATACCACAAGCACCAAGTTAACCTGTCAAACTTCAGCTATTCTGGGTAGGGTATTTTTCCCCATCAAAAAACCTCTTACAGATCTGTTACTCCACCTTTAACTGGCAAGAGAAGACAGAGACCCAGTAGGAAGCATCACTTTGAAAGGTTTAAACTACTTCTAACCTGTTACCTAAAAGATGGCAAAAGCCCAACCTAATCTAAACATGTAATTACATAACATGTATATAATTACAGCCCATAATTTTATCAGCTATAATCTGAATTTTGCACAAAGAGGGGGGGAAAGAAAAAGGGATGTTAGCCTAAGAGCTCCTGAACAGCTCTGACACAGCTGGTTATTTTCCAGCAGACTAACTAGCTGTAACCTCTCAAAACATGCATCAGATATTTCACCTCTGCTGACTTCCCTGCGAGAGGGGAAAATCCTGCTGCCTGCTGACCCACCAGCTTCCAGCAGAAGGTGCGAGCACGTTCCATGCACAAGCCAGATACAGCTTTCATGGCTTAGTTCAAGCATGCGTAAGCCTGGTGGAAGGAACCATTATTAAAAGAAGATTGGCCTTTGCTTAGAATCTTGTATGTGGGTAGGCAGAAGAGCCTCTCACTCAGGAGAAAGCAGCGTTGATCCCTGGTACGCTGCGGACAGTCCCGTCAGCACGTTTGCACTACCAGGATTGGCACTGCCAGTGGAGAGCACAGGCTGGGTCATGCTTGAAATGGAAGTCTTGGTCCTTACAACAGAGGACAAAGGCACCTGTCAGGAAGGCAGAGCCGGGACAGCAGCCCTGTCTGCAGCTCCTAGATCTGCTCATGAAAGCAGCAGACAGGTGAGCAGGGGAATGCCAGCACCATGGCACTGCTGAGGGTCCAGCTTTCTGCACCTCACACCAACAGAAAAGGCAGCATTAACTCAAGTCCAGATCACCTGCAAATCTTGTTATCTGACACACAAAAGCCCATCTAATCCATGACAGCCAGTGTAGCCAGGGTAAATCATTCTGCTAAGAAGGTCAGAAGAAACTGCACGCAGATACAAATCTGAGAGCGCACCAGAACATGCCATGGCATAAGGATATACAGCAGCGCAGCTCCAAGGGCCATTCAAGCTGCTTCGATTTTCTCTGGACAGGAGCCAAAATGGCAATCAGGGCAACCTCTCAGAGCTTATCATCTGCAGGGCTGGCCTAAGTAGTTTCAAGATAAGAGGATCAACAAGACAACAGTGTAGCAGCGTATCCGCAGTCTAAAGATTACACTAGTTTTCTGTGAAAGGAGTAACTTTATTCCATTGACCAGGAATCCCAAGACTGTTCATCAAGACTGCCTATTATTCCAGTGCCAAATGTCTACGTATTAATCAGACAGTATCTCCCCGAATGCTCACAGGCAGGCTGTGGCTGCTCCTCACTGAACATTTTGTAAGCTGTATAAAAACATTTTCATCCAAAAAGATTGGCAGTAAAAATTACAACATAGAAATGCATCACAATTTACACAAAAACTAGTTTTGTTGAACTCTGTTTTCCAAAAAATAATCTTCAGCAGGTTCAAATGACAGCAGCTGGAAACAAAAATAATTGACCAAGTATCATCTTATTGCAAATTATAACCATTGACTTTGTACAAGCGTGAGCAGAACCATGAAAAAGTTTGTATTGGTTTCAAGTATACAGTGGTGATGAGCCATCCTGATGCAATTCTCTTATCAATGCTTCTCTGGGCCTGCCATAATTGAGGACGTTGTTTCCATAGGAAATAACAGGAACCTGAAGTGACAAGTGGTGCCAACCCATAGGAATATTACCAGCTTCTTCCGTCACCATCACCGCTGCGTACTGACTTCTTGTGATGATTTATGACCCATTAACAAAGTATCAGGGATGGGGGAAGGAAGAAGGGGTATCCATAAGAAATGATTTATTCAAAATTAATTTAAAACATCACATTTAAAATGTCCCAGCACATTATCAGAAACATTTATAAAATGCTAACTCTGCCATGTGTCTATGAAAACGTTCGGAAAAGAAAGTGAGAGATTCACTACAATGCCACCCTTATTTCTTTGCACGCGCAATTTATGATAACGGCTCTCTTAACCTGCAATAAGTTAAAGCTGTACAGCTGAAATCAGATCAGATGTTTACTTCCAACAGTGAAATGACTGGTTAATTTCAATATTAGTGCACAACAGTGAAAAGCTGTCTGCTGCTTCTTGTTTCGGCAACAGTATGTAAAAAGAAAAAAAGGCACTTTTTGGCTGGTTGTGCCTTTAACTTGGCAAATTTATCTATTCTGGAGGTACCCAGGCACTCCTTAAGATGCCCCCCATTTCTGTGCATGTTTATATCATTTTTTTAAAGTAAGGCAGAATCCATAAATAAAGGCAAAAAGCAGTGCGGAAAACGTGACAAACGCAAAACGTACAAAAGGTGAAGAGTTAGTTAGCACAGAAGAAGCTAGTATCCAGAGCCAGAAATCACTGAACTGCACTTGACATGGAAAACAAAACTCTGCTCAAATCATCCCAACTGGTTTCCAGTTGTTTATGAGCAAATCAAGAGCTGTGATAGTTTAAACGTTGCCTGGTCAAGTGAAAATACAAACAAAGCCAAATCATTCTTTCCCTGTGTTAAAATTGTTGTAAAATCTGCACAACAGTGTCCCCCCAACTCACTCAAGGGATTATTCATCATATACAACCAATACCAACTTTCTCAGTAATTTCAAAGCATAAGCAAGCGATTGCAGATCACATGATTGAGACTACTTTTTATTCAATATGTCTCCAAAGGTTAAAAAAATTTAATGAGTAAAACTGCAACAGAACTCCGTCTTAAAGTGCTTTTTTCTTTTAAACTACTCATTAACTTTTTTTTTTTTTAATTCACCAACATCCTTTAATAATTAACACTTGCATACCTAGAGAACACAGCTTTTCTTTTATTGCCCTTCTCAATTGTCTGTGTTTTTTGGAAGGGTACCAGAAAAGATGTCCCATTCCAGAGCTCCTTGACCAAACCTTTCTGTAAGGAATCACTCTCCTTACAGAACAATCTTGCTGATCCTCCTCATAAAGAGCTTTACAAATTAACAGGGAGACATATTAAATACAGAAGTCCTTATGTAAACCCATTCTTTAACTAATATTTTACAATGAAATGTAAGTCATCACACATCTTTACAGAAATTTGAATATTCCTATTCAATATTATCAGAAAGATTAAAAATTTGCCCTCCATACATAAGGGCAGTCTGTGTTTTTTTCCTGTATAAAAACCAAAAGAATTTTTTTGCAGCATCACAGAAAAGCAACAGTTTTACATTCACTCATTTAATGTTCACATAAAAATTCAACCACTAGCGTTTGTGTATTTGATAAAATCTTCTTGACAAACTGTTTTCGGTGTCTGGACTGTCATAAGCTACTGCAGGTGAAGATGCAGTTTTCTAGAGCATTTATTAATCTGAAGCCTTTGTGGCTAAAAAATGCTTTTAGCTTTCAGGGAAACAGCTTCCTCCAGCATTGCCTCCAATCCTGTAAAGCCACTTCTTTTCCAGACTCTTCTAATGGCATAAGTAACAGGACTCCAGTTTCAGTAGGTACCAGGCATTAAATGTTTGAGTTGATCTGTTTTTGTATTCATAGGTATCCTCTATGGGTCAACATCATCAAGGTCACTTTTATGCTCACCAATCATCATAGGAGACTCTGAGCCCTTTCAATACACACAAGGGATGGGGAGAGAAAGATATAGCACGTTATTTTTGTAAGGCACACAATTATTGCATCTACATTCAGTGATGGTTCTGACCTGACCCCCAGGAACAAGCTATCTAACAGAGCAATGCAACAGAAGATAGACATGCCCTTATTTTATTGTTACCTGCTGTAGATGTCTCTCTCCATTCTCGTTGGCTGGACTACTTTCTGACCCGTTACTGCTTCCAGACTGATCTTTCTCATTCAGCAAGGCTGTGGCATAGGCCAGCGTGTCCTGAGTTGGAAACAGTCCAAGAGAGTGTCAGGGGCCATGGTGATACCTTCATCTCATAATCATTATTAATATTTTTTTTTTTAAGTTGATTCTGAAACAATATAGCTGCTGTAGTGAGATAGTTGAGTCACCACAGGTAATTGTGAGGTATTGACTAATGCCATTTACAGGTTAGTTTTTTCAGGAACAACCACAGGGTCTGGGCTTCTGAAGGAAGAATGGTCTTAAGTGCACTGGAATATGCTAAAGTTGCCAAAACCAAAGATGCTAACTGAAAAGCAAAAAAGGAAATAATTCAAATTTAACATAGTCTCCCAAGACTGATACCTACCTGTGCTGAAATAGTGCGCTGGAAGGTTTTTGCAGTTGATGTTTCATTGGATACATTACTCTGTGGAGCCCAATAATGTTCAGACATCTGCATAAAAAGCCAAGAAAGCCATAAAATTGCCATATGAGTTTTACAGGTATAAAGCCTCATCTACTTGTGATGGTAGGTGAACTAAGTCTGGACAAGCTTCCTGAATCCTTTGGCAACGAGCTGGAGGTCTGGGGCACAGACAAGCATGCACTTTTCATGCAGCCAGAACAGTCAGAGAGACTATTGCCCCTCAGCTGAAAACTAGCAGCCAACTCCCTTTATTTGGTAACTGTACGTGTGTGCAAGTTACTGGATGCCAGCTGAAGAGTGGCAGATTCAGGGTTTACATGAGCCAGTACAAAGTAAAAATGGGTACAGCAGGACTATCCAGACTGTCAGTTTGCTGTGTTTCAAGAGAAGAGTGATAACAAGTTGTGCCAGCTGCATTGCAAGCATCCCAATAATTCTGCTTCCAGTATTCAGTACAGTACTAGTTTATGCATCTGACATCCGCCTGGCAGCAGCTGTCAAGACAGAAAGGCAGCCTGAGGCTGGGATACTATCGTGCTGTACATGCAGAGCTGGGAGACCAAGCATTGCCCTGCTTGACTGCAGGCAAACCTGGGCCAATTCTGCTGAGCTTTAAGTTTCCAAAGCATCCTTGGGTATTTATTAAAGACGTGTTGGCCAACCTACTTAAGTTTAGAAGGAGGAACAAAAAATACAGTGTGGGAGGAGAAAGCTGTATCTGTCAACAGTTATGTTTTGTACAAAGCTGGAGTGACACTGTAAGGAATCCACTCATTTACACATTCCCTTGCATCAACATGCAGGCAATGGAAAATGCTTTTTTAGAAAAGTGAAACCTTCTAACATGAATACAGCGGCACTGAAAGCTTCCCACATGGCAAGGAATGATAATCATTATGACCATTCACTCTTGGTTTTATTCACTGTACACACATCTACATGTGAAACATGCAGGGGCCTACAGAAGTTCTTGCATGTATGCATGTATCAAATTTAGCTGCATCCAAACTGTCCTTGTGAAATATGAAGTAGCTTGTATTTTGTCTTAAGAGTCATCTCAAAGAGCCATATAGAGGATGGAGATTTCATAATTCTCATTGTTTACAAACTGGCAGTCTTTCCATAAAGTTACAGCCAAACTACCTTTTTCTGCAGCCACTGCACAGCCCAACTCCAGTGGTGGGAATTCTCCTTGAAATAATCTTTCGCCGTAGGGCACCTTGGTAATTGAAATTGTATTCATTAGTCATGAACAAGGCATTCTGGCAAACTTTAAAAAAAAAAAAAAATCCAAAGACGACTTCTTTGTGCTGCTGTCCTCTGTATGCACTGTCAGCATTGCAAATGCTGACCTAAACTGTACAGCCCTGTTATTAACTGAATTAACAAGAGCAATAATGCCTAGTAAAGCTCACACAAAGTAGTCTGCTACACAGATTCATGTATTTCAGAACTATGCTTTATTGGGACATACACCAAGTTCCAAACAAGGAGAATTTAGGAACCATAAAATTTCAAAAATCTGGGACAGTTATGTGTTTATCTTGGTCTTAATCCTAGGCTCCTGCTCTACAGAACATAGCTGACCTTTGCCTTTATAAACAGCAATTATCAGCTGTTATATGAGAAATCCATCTTGGGTACTAATCAGTAAAGATTTCACTTCATACTGACACAGGTACTATCAAGGCCTTTGAGCACCACTTACATCACAGTAAAACAAAAGATAAAACTGATCAAAAGTAGGAAGAGCAGCAGCCTTAACAGTCACAGAGGGGCCTAAGGCAGGGATAAGGTTAAATTCTGAAACCCGTATTACTCACTTCTGAGCCAAAGTAACAAGGAACTTGACACACTGGTAACAACGGCTGCTGTCCACATGGTTGCTCTGGTGCATCAAGGCTGTGGGGAGAAACAGATGGATTAAAAAAAACACAGTTCAGATTTCTGTGTACCAGCCAGTCTGAAAACATAACAAAGATGAAGCTGAAATTTTAACTTAGGTGGTGGAAGTTATTTCTACAGATGTTAGCATGAGTATTTGTGTTAAAGACACTACTGTATTGCTGACAGTTTTGAGGACTTCCACAAGTCTACTGGATTAAAAATAGATCAAAGTGAAAAAGCAGTAATTCTTTCAAATGCGGTACCTCAATTTTAAACAGTCCTCTCCTAATGCAGTTATTCTTCCCCTATAATCCAGTCTATGTTAGATAATCGCTATGGTTACATCTATCTGAAGGAAAAAAATGTTTGAAACTCCCATAAATAGACCAGATCACCAGCTTCCACCTGGATCAAAACTTGCAAAGCTTGAAGAATGTTTAAAGCTTCTTCACACAAACAAGCATAGCAAAATTCAACAGCTGTAAGTCTCTTCTATGGGAGACTTGGGCAACACCTCGGGCCATTCCTACCAGGAAGTTTTCTATATCGTGAATTCCCACATCTTTTAACAACATTCTTTGAGGAGAAGCACAAAGATTTCCATGGCACTGCCACAATCAGATTTGTTACTCAAAAATTGCTCTGTCCATAGGAGTCAGCAAACAACACTGTACTGAAACCTCTGAAGTAGGCAAACAATTGCTAGGGAACTGCAAATTGCCAGGTCTTCTACTGTGAAAGCACAGCAGATGATTAAAATTACAGCACTGGTGTACTGCAAATTATGCACAAACACCTTCTTGAGGACCACAGAAAACTATTTTTTGCTGATTTCCTTTCTTGGAGTAAAACTAGCCAATGTGACTGATAGGTCACAGTCCATGTGCAGTGAGACTCGATGCTGTTCAGTGCTGTTGCAAGGAAACTCCAAGGTAAAACTACAACTTGCACTCCCGAAACCCACAGTAGTTCTTGTAAAATATGTATGGTTTAACAACATTACACAAGAAGTCTTCAACATAAAAATCCAATTGAATAATTGCATCTCTCCTCTGTAGAGGAAAAAAAGGTCACGTATTGCCCAAATTACAGAACAAAACTGGTCCAAGTTGGACCAATTTACCCAGAAATAAAATAACCACTTAGCTATTCTCTTACACAGCTGCATCTTATCTTCTTTTCTATCAGTCATACATGGGAACTACTAAACAGAAGAGCACTGAAGTATAAGAGAGAAATAAAGAACAAAGTATTCCTTCTCACTAAAACAGAATCCAAAATAACTTAAGGTGACAGCCACAATCTGAAGCAGCAACTCATCCAAACAACTATGAAAGAGATGCTCAAGCTGTGGTAACTCATCAGAGGTGCTCTTTGAGCACCATGTGGGTACCCCACATTTCTCTTGCACACAAAACCTCTTCTCCTGATTCATATGAAGTAAGCTCTCGTCACTTCTGGGACTTTTCTGTTGCTTTTCAATGCTTTAGTAACTTCAGCAAAGTTTCTGTATCAAGTGGAGAGACAACACTTTGTATGAGCAGCAACAAATTGGAGCCACCTGTCAGATTATGAGACTATCCTGCAATTAGTAGTATTAGCATCCTTCCATGCTGAACCAGTTTCTTTTCATGGTAATTACGATGCTGACAAAACAAAAAGATTTGCAATTTATTGAGATACGTAGGAGATAAAAATTAATTTTTATGGTCACAGGATTCATTTTATGTTGGAAAAGACCTTTAAGATTATCGAGTCCAACTGTTAACCTAGCACTGCCAAGTCCACCACTAAACCATGTCCCTAAGCGCCACGTCTACATGTCTTTTAAATAGCTCCAGGGAGGGGGACTCAACCACTTCCCTGGGCAGCCTGTTCCAATGCTTGACAACCTTTCCGGTGAAGAACTTTTTCCTAACATCCAATCTAAACCTCCCCTGGCACAACTTGAGGCCGTTTCCTCTTGTCCTATTGCTTGTTACTTGGGAGAAGAGACCGACACCCACCTCGCTACAACCTCCTTTCAGGTAGTTGTAGAGAGTGACAAGGTCTCCCCTGAGCCTCATTTTCTCCAGGCTAAACCACCTCACTTCCCTGAGCCATCCCTCATAAGAGTTGTGCTCCAGACCCTTCACCAGCTTCATTGCTCTTCTTTGGACATGCTCCAGCACCTCAATGTCTTTCTTGTAGTGAGGAGCCCAAAACGGAACGCAGTATTTGAGGTGCAGCCTCACCAGTGCTGAGTACGGGGGGATGATCACTTCCCTAGCCCTGCTGGCCACACTGTTCCTGATACAAGCCAGGATGCTGTTGGCCTTCTGGGCCACCTGGGCACACTGCTGGCTCATGTTCAACCAGCTGTCAACCAACACCCCCAGGTCCTTCTCCACCAAGCAGCTTTCCAGCCGCTCTTTCCCAAGCCTGTAGCGTTGCATGGGGTTGTTGTGACCCAAGTGCAGGACCTGGCACTTAGCCTTGTTGAACCTCATACAACCGGCCCCAGCCCATCGATCCAGCCTGCCCAGATCCCTCTGTAGAGACTTCAAATGTTAATCCAATGTACTTCCCCCCGCCCTCGCACTACGTATACACCCTGATCTGCTTCTTATTTCAAAAAGTAACCTCTCTTGCCAACCTCTTGGTTAAGGTTCCTTAATGTCACTTTTTAAGTACATAATACCACCCTTCTTTGGGTTCACTGACTGCTGTTGTTGGAGATTAATTTTTCCCAGTTAAATTCCTTTCCAGTTTGCCGTTACTCTAATATTCTAATGCTTATTTTGTGGGGTGGTGCTGGCTAAATCAAATAGTGTCTTCTTGTTTTCCCTGAGAAGTAAAACAGTTTAGAAGGATTAGACACTAGGAGATGATATGAACCATCATCAACATAAGGGTCAGTAGGAGACAGACGCATTCACCCACTGGCTTACTTGCCTATTAATCCATTTTCAGTTTCAAAGGCAAATTTGATGCGCTCTACTTGTAATGGGTCTTCGATAACCTGTTAGGAAAGAAAAAGATCAATAAAAGTAAGTTGTATGTCATACCTCTACCTATTCTATGAAATGTTTTTAACTACCTCAACATGAAAAAAAGGTAAGACTTGTGAAGTTTCATATATCACTGGATTATCCAGACAGCAATTTAAAAAGTAATAAAACCTCCAAACTGAAGGATAAAAAGATATGTGGATGTTGAAATTACCCAGTGCAGCCCTGACTTTTTTCATTATGCATTGATACAAAAATCTGTCCTGTACAAGTCTTTACCCTTCACCTACCAGTATCTCATGGAGTAACTGGAATATGTTTTTCAGTTCATGAGGTGGAGCAGTCGCCAGCTGAGTCTGCATGTAAGAAATACAGTTACTTATATAGTAAAATATGTTGATGATGCAAAGAATTACAACACAGCCTGTAATTCTTGCAGATTTTTGAAAATTTGTTGTTTTAAAAAGTAAAAGCTTAAAAAAACCCCAACCCGCCCCCCCAATCCAATAAACTATCCAATAAACTGTACTGATTGTTCTGCAGATCCCAGTGCCATGATAACCCATAAGACACAGTATGACCAAAGCCTAGAATAAATACTTATGCAAAAAGCTTATCTTTATTATCTACATACCGTGATAGAGCGTAGCACAGCAAAGGAAAAGGGCTCATTACAAAAGCAGCAGTAGACCACCATCTCAATGAGAACTGACAGAGATCCAGTTAGCTCTCGTAATGCATACATCACCTAATGGAACAGTGCAAACAGTTTTAGACACAGCCATACAATTATTTCTAAGAGATGGATCAAGTTTATAATAGAATGTTAGTCTTTCCCAGGAAGGATGCAGTTGTTTTCTCCCAGCACCTGCATGGCCCAGTGAGCTGAACCCCTGCCTTCATAGCACTCCATTCAGCTCCTGCTGCCCACCTCCAAGAGTCTGGTCAAGCATGATCCATTAAGTCAGACCAATTCAAACTAGCACCTCCAGCTGACATACAGTAACTGACCGCACGGGCACTTGCAAAATGTGTTCAGCTGTCTTTGCTAACTTCGTAAACTCTCTAACCAGACCTCTAAGTTTAGGGATGTACTGGAAAATAAGAAGGTGTCAAGAAGAAACCAAAGGTGCCTTCTTGTTCAGGCTCAAAATAATAGCTACGTACTCCCCAGCTGTCTGCTTTTCAATATTCAAGTGTTTTTCATGTAAGGATATTTCAAAGAACTAACATCAGATCAGCTTTTAGGTTCAAGCAGGGCAGAATTTAGAACAGATACCTCCATTAAGTAAGGTTTTTCCTCAGACAGGAATAACAAGGCTTCCACTTCTTCATGAAGCATCAAAAGTGGACCTGAAGCGGTGGCGCTTAGAGGTGAACGCTGCTTAAAAAGACCAGGAGCTATAACAGCAAATACAAAAATAATCCACTAATAAATTAGATTGTTCTACACACCTTGAAGACACTGCTACTCATTTGGCACCATGTAATCTCTAATGACATTCATCATTCATCTCTACTAGCTTATAGCTCATATGGTACCACTCCAAGTAACAAATCTCTTGCACACTAAAGCATCATTTAGCGACAACATAGGCAAATGAACTGCAAGAAGGCCAAAGCAAAATGTCCATATTTACTATCAGTACTTTGAGCTTTAGTTTCACTTCCAATGACTGCTGCATATTCATCACATTCAGAATGTTTATCATCCTTCTTTTACTTTATGATTTTTGACTGCCTCCAACTCCAGAAACTTGTAACCCTAGACAGAAATCAAGTTATTCCTTTAAAAAGACAACTTTAAATTCCTCCTTCAGGAAACTGAGGAACTCAACTTATTCCTTGATTATCTTTATTTGGATATCTCTGTCTCTTGTAAGAAATATCTAGGAAAGTATTTTATTGCTTGTTATTCAGTACCGCAGTCTAAATACTCCCCTTCAGATTAGCAAAAGGCATAACAAATCTAAGCAAAATACAGCCTGTTAGGGTGCGAGTCTGTCCCAGACAACAATGACGCAGCTTGACTCACTCACACGAGGAAAGACCTTTTAGGCATATGGGGGAGCAGAGAAGGCACAATAATGTTAATATCAAGATCCGCCCCCCCCAAGTGCCTGTAATAATATCTGTTTGCTGCAGACGCTCAGTACATTTACAACAAAATAAAAAGTAATCAAACGTATGCTAACCATTACTGCCTTGAATTCAAAGTGATTGTGTTTTTCCTCACTGATATTAAGTTACTCCCAGTAACTGAAATGCAAAGTCACCAAAAGGCAAAAACTCAATTCTTACCAACATTTCTTTGTGAGGAGACGTCAGAGTGCAAAACAAGTAGTGCTACAGTATTGTGAAGATATCCAAACTCACGTGCTTGTGCTGAACTCCACCTGCGATTCTGCTTGAGCCAAAGGAGAGATTTAATTAACTTTTGATTGGTTGATTTAGTCAACTTCTGTTAAGTCAAAACAGAGCAATGTCCTTAACAGTCTACCACCATGTTCTAATACTTTGAAGTTGGTGAAAATGTTGTTGTTATCAAAACCATGACACTCACTTATGCCAAAACAGCTACTTCCATGTTAACTATGCATAGGTACACTAAGACTTGCATGAAGCTTACAGAATAATCTAAGGATTAGTCTATCCTACCACATGAAAAGTATTTATCCGTAATTTAAGCATCATAAAAACATGGGGATAGACAAAATACAGCACAAAAACCACATACTACATAAGCTTTACCTGATTACTCTGCCGGTTGGGGCCAAGAAGGAAGTTGATCATGTGCCTCAAAGCAGAGTGTCTGAGAAGAAGACTGCTAGCCCTTATACCCTGCTATTTAGACAACAATAAAAACGTTACATTCCTGTGCAGGTAAAGAGTTAATGCTCTAGGGAACAAAAGTAAAATGCATAGGCTAAACACTGCATTTCTACTCTAAAAGAAAAAGATCAATAAGGTACAACTCTAAAAAGCTGTCTTGTTATATAGAGCACATTATATAAACCAGGCTGGAATCAGCATAAGCAAAGTAAGTGTCATATAAAAAAAGAATAGGGGAATAGAGAGAAACCATATACTGGGGTGAACAGTACGGTCTAGTCAGTTATTCTGCTTCCTATAGGACAAAAATCCTGAACGTTGGAATTTTTTATTTTTTTTTTAAGAACAGCCAAGAACAACCCTCCAAAACAGAAATCCAAAATTCAGACTCTGGAAATAACATGTTCAATTCATAAACTTTGCTGGTATATTTTTGTCTGATTTTATCCTAATCCCATGTTCAAAGCCATTTACTTTTCAAAAAAAGAAAAAAAAAAAAGGAATACTCTAACAGAAGTTCTCGAAGAGTTTCACTGTGCTGCTTAAGCCTTCTATGAGTATGGATGACTAGCTGCTTTACTGTTGTCCTTTAAAATTAAACTAGCATTAAAAAAGTAATGGTTTCTTACCTTCTGTACAAAGTTATTGAATAGCAAAAAGTACTGAGCACAGTTTTTACAGTTTTCAGGAACATCTTTATCCAGTAGAGCAAGTAGCACCTCCAATAATTGATGTAGACTTTTTAACTGTGAAAAAATTATTGATTTGAATTTAGAGAGTTGTCTACTGCTTAAAAAACACAAGTGTATCACATTTCAGAGTTAAGGAATAGTTAACAAAATCATACGTGTGGTCAGATATGCTTGCTGCGATGAGTATGAATACCTAACATAGGATTGCAGCCTTCCCACTTTTAACTCTTCCGAATGAATGCTGCATATACTAAACAGAAAAGTAATGAAAGCATTGGCATGCAGGTAACTTGCTCAAAGTAGTGGAACTCAGCAGTTACGTAAGAGTGCAATATTTTTAAAGCAATTCAAATTACTCCTCAGAGTGAACTGATGTTCAAACATTCCAGTCATTACAGTAATGCAGAACAAACCAGATTAGAAGCAAACTGTCACTCAAGGTCTCATGTTAGCATACTATCACACTCAACTATGCAAAAAGCAATGTTAGTGTTTAGTTTGCATCAAAGCACACTAAGGGTTTACACACCAGTATATAATTTATTACATCTCAGTTAAGAGATAGCAACTAACAGCCAAGAGGAAGTAATCAAAAACCATCAAACTATATTGTAAATGTTCATCTCCCTACTACTGTATTCACCTTGTAGGACTTCACAGCAATCTTTCCTTAAAGCTCTAAATATGACAAACTTTCTTAATAGAAGCCTGTACAACAGTAGCGCCTTCCATCCGTGACGCTGGATGAAAAAGGATAGATCCCAGAAACTGGATAGAAAAAACATCCTATCACATCAAATACTAATGTTTGATGTAAAAAAAAATTATTTCAGACTAAACAAGACTTGAACATTTAAAAGTGTCCAAGCCCCCACTGACAACTTACAGGAACATGCCAGAACATAGGTAACACTTCTGTCTGAGTTCTCTTGATACAAATTATTTGGTTCAGGTATCCCAAGAAAAACAGGTAAATCTCAAGCATTCCACAAATGACTGCCTTTGACAAATGTCCTGCTAGGTTTTCCTAGAATATTACGATCAGCAAAATGTAACAAAGCTGTACTTGCCAAGATTTTCTAATAGAAAACTGAATCTTCGAACATTAACCATACTTATGGTCTCTCTCTGGAACAAGATAACTCAGTTACTACTGCTATAGGCTTCTGACTGAGTGAAGAAGGAGAATCAGTTAAAAATTAAGCTTATTTCTGGAATCAAAAAAAGATAATAAATCTTAAGAAAACACTGTTTCCAAACGATTAAAATAATATGTGATACCAGTTTATAAGACCAGCTGAAATTATGCATAATTGTTTATAAGTAACCCTTTGAACTCAAAGTCTGAGAATTACAGCAGCATGTTACCTGCTAGGGTAGGAACAGACAAGCATTAACCTACTCAAGAAATGAAGAGCTACAAGCATCATCGAGACAAGAGCCTTTCACCTTATCATTTACAAATCACACAGCACTGTCTGCAAACACAGCAAGAGCCATTAGGTAGAGACAACCAACAGAATCATTGGTGATGAGGTGACACTAACCTTCTCCTGATAAAGCAAGGCACTGTCGAGGGTTTTTTCAAGAATAGTGGCTACAGCAACTCGTACCTCTCTTACACTGCATTCCAGGAGGAAAGTCCTGGAAGATAAAAGGCAAAGCTGCAAAGAGAACTCGAATGAACGTGTACACACAGTTACTACGATTAAGTGTGGTGTTTATTATTTTAAGAAGGAAAACAGTCCAGATACTTCTTGTATTGTACTTCTGTGGATAAGCTTTAACTTATTTTCCTGCACTCCTGCTTGTCACTAGTAAGGCCTATAAGATTACTTTATATTTATTCATTCAAATAACAAAAAAAAACCCAACCCCAACAACAACCAAAAAACTAAAAGCTATCACAGGATCCTGTCTTTCAATGCAGCTTCAAAGATAAAATTTTTTTTACATTGACACACCTCTCTAAGTGTGTCAGTTCTCCAAGAATTTGTCTTAGGTGTTTTCAAAAAAACACCTGTTAGCTGACACTGTGCTTGGTGAGAAAAATTCTTACCAGTTTATCTGTGATCTTTGTCAGGTAAGTATTTAACTTACCTTACCCCAAACACTTTCACCACATTCTCCTTTCCCACCTCCTGCAGGAGTGACTAGACATAAACTTAAACACATTCCAAGGCACTCTACTGAATTAAACATCTGCATCCTCCTCCATGTCCACTGCACTATTTTATTAGATTTTCAGAATTACTCAGAAAGCTGCACAATCTGAGAAAATACTAGAAATAAAAACCTAAGTGATTATCTAGAGTGTCTGTTTAAAGAATGTGCACAGTCAACCCTTTGGGAATAGATCAGTAGAGGTCAGATCATGTTATTAGGAAGCTTTATCCATACATGAGACACAAAACACCCAAGACAGAATTACCAGTACTTACTTTACAAGCTCCCGGCCTTCTGGCCCAACAAAATATTCAACCAACCACTGACAAGCATCAATGCTTTTGGAGAGCAGAGCATCTATGGTGGCAATCCATTCTTCTGTATCAGCCCTTTAACAAAACAAGGACAACTGTTAGAAATGAAAGAGAAAAAACACCTCCAAAACCTAAGCCATGCTTCTTGTTTGCCAAATAGAAAGAATTTTTACTTTAATTGAACATACATTAAATGGCTTAAGACAACAACACTTAGAGAAGTATTCTGGAACAACTTGCTGTCTTTAAATCCATTAAAGCCTTTCCATGCCCAATCCACTACCGTGGAAATAAAGGACAGCTGGGAGAGGCAGCAAACTGTCAGGTTAAGTATGACCCTCCTTCCTCTCCGATTTCTTTGCGTCAGGAATGTATTGCTACTCCTGTGTATCTCTACATTACCCACAGGATTAATTTCAAGGTGCTATAGGTACAACGAACACGAAAACCTCAGAATGTTGTTACAGTATGCAGAACAAGGCCTTACCTGAGTTTCTTCTTGGTTCGGAGATAGGTTTGGAAGAGGAATTGGACTGCCAGCTGTAAGCTCACCTTTGCCATGCATGGATAATAAGGATGCTTTACCTTAGTCTGAAAGAAATGTCAAATTTACTTCAGAGCAGAACTATGCCTGCAGCACATATGCTGTCTCTTAAACACATCAGCATGTTCTATTAAAGTAATTTGCTTCATTTGCAAAAAATAAACCAAAGCATTTTTCTGTGCTAAAAACAGTCTCTAGTGCTGACTATGCTTGTAAACAAATATGCTAAAACAGGAACAAACTTGCTGTAAGGCCTGCTAGATCTGTGGATTTAATAAATTTAATAAATGCTGGTTTGTTTATTACTCTATTTAGAAAAACTTAATTAGTAAACTGTATTTCCAGTTAAAGTTTATCAACTTGGAGGTGACCAACACCAACTTTTGGATCTTCTATATAGAGAGGAATTTCTATCCTAGAGGTCAGTTTGCATCATTAAAAAAGGTGCATGTTATTTCATAAATTTTACTATGGCACAATGGTGTTTCTCCCACTACTAGAACAGGAGGCTGGAGTCAGCTTTGAGACAGATGTTATCACTGTGGAAAGTTACTTAGGACAATGAATTGCTCAGCTGGAAAAGCAAAATCATGTCAACCCTCCTCTTCCAGTTTTCCTGGTTATGAGCCAAATAGCTTCTGTGGCCCTTTCTACCCAACATATTCTGAATACTCTAAGATTAAAATCTAGGTACTTACAGCATTCAGTGAAGCTAATGACAGAACAAAACTGAAGTAGTCACTACTGTATACATCTCTGTTCTTCATAAATTTCAAGTTTTCATCTCTGACCATCTGTAAAAGAAAGCAAAAAAATTTAAAATGTTGTCAAAGTACATTTCTCTAACTAAAATTGCATCTTTTATGCAAATATGTGTGGCGTTCAAAGTCCAGTGTCAGACCTATTCTGTTCAAACTCTGAATCACTACTTCAGCAGAGGGGAAAATACACACAGGAGACTTAGAAGACCTGTATAAAACCTGGTTTTATATTTTCTTCTTTATATTTTCTTCCACAGATATTACAAAACACAAGACAAGAGATGAAGGACTTAATAATTTGGCTATTAAAGGAAAAGAAAAAGGAAGAGTTGCTGATAGGTTTTTAATAATTTTAATAAAAAAGCCAAGAGAACATAATTCAAACTGGAAAGGCTTGCTTAGCAAATTTACATGTACAGCAAGGAGCCATGGTATAATTACAAGCTGCAGCCACAATAACATACTTAAATGCCAAGTCCCTCTTTTTTCAAGTGAGATTTTGCTGAAAGACTCTCAATAATTTTGAGCCAAGTTCTGTTCATTGTAATAATACAACCCCAGATACAAGAATGCCTAAAATGACTATTAATGCCCTGATGCAGCCCATGTGGATGGCCATACATAGCCTGCAGTTTATTCTTACTGTGTATGTGATGTAGGCTCTCTTGCACATGTGCACATCAGCAGGATGGTGTGTGTTCAGAAGACCAAATATATGCAAGATTGTATCCTCTCCTGTATGAACCAGAGCTGCAGGCCTGCAGACTGACACCTTCCTCTTATGACAGCTAACCGATATCCATGTTCTACCATCCTCTCACTGCTCTGTCAATGCCATCGCACCTTCATTTTCAGCCCTGATTTGCAAAGTTGCCTTCAACATCCTTGTTTTCACCTTTGAGAACACATTCAGTATTAAATAAGCTAACAGACACAAACAGAATTGAAGTCAGTTTTGGTTTCTCTTCTCCCCTTTTTACTTTCTTGTGAACTCAAGAACTAGAGGATGACTGTAATTCGCCATCTTCTCCATTCCTCTTCAAGTGTACTTCAATGAACCATCTTTTCTGCTCTCATCTCTCCCTGCCTGCATGCTGACTGCTGCCATTATCTCATATTTGACTAACTTGCCTGCAGTTTCTTCAAAGCAAAGAATGACGGGTCAATTTTGTGAGAAGGGACAGCAAAACTTACAATAACGTACCACTGAGCAGCTTGTTAATAACTTTACATCAGAAACCAGAATTATTTTCTAGCTTTGCTTTCAAGAAGGGAATTACTTCAAGGCCACCTTTAAAATTACTGTGTTCCTCTTACTATGTGCTTAAGTTTCCTATGAGTACAATTTAGTTGCCACTTTTGGAGTGCTCTACCTGATATATCCGCACAGGCATTTTCTCTACAAAGAGTCCCTTTTTTTCTCCTTTTCGAACCAGCTTGGTCAAGATGGAGAGGCGGTCACTGTTGGGCCTGTGGGGTCGAGGTGATGACTGGGGTGAAATTTCTGGTGAAGATGGGGCAGATCTGAAATATATACATGCTCAAGGTGAATAATGAAATCCTATGACAAATCTACAGTTCAAATTTAAAATACCAGTACAGCTAGTACAATCTTAGGGCAAATTTAGATGACAGTCTAAACACTTCTTAAGGCTGTCAGTCAGCTGGAACTTCTTACTGCAATAGTGACAGCAGTATGGAAGAGGAAATTATAAAAGCAATAAAAGACTATTCATTAAGCAGCTTAAAAACCAACACAACAGAAGGCTCAGTACATTCCTTTGTCAAACAGGAATTACTGATTTCTGAGTTCTGGAGATAGGGTCTAGATACCAACATAAGAGAAACCTTTACAGACACAAGAGGAACTTACAATGAGAGGTCCTCAGCTTCTTGACGCACAACACTCACTCGACTTTTCTTTGGTAAGACTGGAGAGTTCTGATCAGACACTCTCTGGTAAAACAGCATATAAGCATTCCAGTAGCGCCGACGCACATCAGGGTAAGGGTTAGCTGGTGGGAGAAAAGGCATTCGATGAGGGCCTTTGAAGGGTTAGTATCTCTTTCATTCCTATACTGGGAATGAAGTCAAACTGGGTGTGCAAGTAATATCCACTGTGGCTATATAAAGTTATTTGTCAGATTAAAACATCAGTCTATGTTAATGAGTAACAAAAACCTGAATTCTAAAATATTTTTGTAAAAAGTATATGTATTTTAGAAAGATAATTATCAGAATTATGAAACAAGTGAATATTAGTGGAAATATATTTGGAATTAATTCCTTAAACTTTAACTATATGATGCCACACCATGTTCTATGCACAGTCCTTGTCACTAGCCTAAAATAAGGCCTGTTTTGTGGGTGTTTGGGTTTTTTTTTTTCCCCTAAAACTACTTTAGCAAGGTGCCATTTTACTTTTGAATCTCCTCTGCTACTAGGTCTACAAAGTGCTGAACAACAGTGAATATGGTTCAATTAATATTAGGCCATATACAAGCTGTTATGTCCTTCAGTAAACAGAAGACTTCAGGAAAAAAAATGCTTCAGAAGGATTATTAGACCAAAGCAGGTATAATGGACTGAGTTCTACCTCTACTGAGAGCCAGTATGAAATATAAAGCTACTGTAAATCAATCTGTACATCTGCTTACATTGATCATAGACTTTAGGTCTATATTCTCCACCAAAACATTCATATTCCAAGGTTTCATCAGTTAAATCAAATTCTTCAACAATGGTGTCATTAAATTTATACCACTTTCCTTTTCCACATCCCCTGTGATCAAAACAGAACAGAAACACAACAGAAACAAAGTTACTTGACTGTCTAGTAAAAAAACCAAACTGTCCTGAATAACCTAGAAACGACAACCCTGAAATCACATGTTTTGACAGTAAATAGAAAGCTCAGTTCAATGTCAAAGTTTCATTTTAAAAAAAAAAAGCTTGATTAAAAATGAGAAGCACATCACCTGCAGCTAAATGTCATAGGAAGCCCTCAAACTGCTATACAAGGTACATAAGAATTCCTGAGACTTTTATAGTAAAGACAGTAACATGAGACACCATAACACCTACACTGTTGGATGTTAAAGGGAAGAGTGCCTCCAACAGAGCTCTGAATGGCTCACTATATCTTCCCAAAACAGATAGTCTTTAGACCACTCTCAAACCCCCCATGCAAGTCTTCTTGGCCATTACCTCCTGTCCTTTATAAAGGAGTAGTAGTGCCCTGCATGTGCCTGGCCACTATGAACAATCACACCAACAAGCTCATAGTTTTCTGTAGGGGCAACTTTCTTCCTTGGGGAGCCTCCGCCTCCTTGATCTGCATTTCTACCATTATCACCCACTTCTGAAGATGAGTCCTGGCGAGCCATCCCTGACACAGTGTAAGGTTCCATGTTCAGCATCCAGGGAAACTGTTTGAAGAGATATTTCAGATTAACTAAGAGATTGTGTTGTGTACCTGATTAGTGTAATTTTATGAGAATTGTATTAATACTTCCCACACTGGGAACACCAGAGGAAAACATGGTACTCCAACTTTTTATCCTTATGACACAGAAGTTAAATAAAATGTCTTTCCAGAGTTTTTTGCTCTTGCTTTCTGCAAGGACCCCGAGAATGTTGCAGACAAGGAAAGCTCTAAGGAAAAATACTGATTTTCTGTAGCACGATCATATTGTAAGTGTACCATGTACTCAAAATCCCAGTATCAAAATGTGGGGGAAAGAAGGAAGAACGAATAGGAAGAGTGAGATTCCACTCCACTGTCCACTCCACAAGGCGGGGGGAGGGAGCCGCCATACAGAAAAGTTTTCTTACCCTTATTTGTTCATCATATTTAATAGAACGTCCGCTCTCCCAATCAAAGCCAAATCTCATCAGGTGAATCACCAACAGGCTAGGTAAGACCTTAATGCATGTGCGCTTCACTGTAGTTCTCTTAAAAAGAAAAGAGAATATCACCCCTATCTATGTACCTCAAACATTCTGTGGTATTCTTCTACAGATGCCCCATTCCAGCCATCTTGAACTGATGTACAATACCGCCATGGGAGGCAGGATGACCATATGATGACTATAATACGTACAGATAAAGTACTAATGCAGCTAATACAGAGTTTGTGCAGTGGGCTGGTATGTTACAGAACATTTTACCATCCTGCCATCCCTCTAAGTGTTCAGTCTACAATATGAATTACAGGGAATGAAGAATGCTATCCGCATGGATTTATGGATTTAACCTTCCAATTATGTCTTCAACTAAGAAAGAGTAAACAGTATATAAGCATGGCTTCTATGAGCATGTAATGCTTAAGAAAACAACAAGCTACAGCTGAATCTTCTTTCACATACATGAAGAACCAGTACCTTTTCTTTGCACTTTTCGCAGTAGTATGCATTGCTTCCTTCCAGAACTTCTCCTCTAACAAACTGATCCAATGATATTTCCAGACTTTGACATGAAGTCACACCTAGGTTGAGAGCCATGAAGGCTTCCTCACGCTCATACCTAAATTCAAGAAGAAAAATAGTCAAGGCATTGACAGAGTAGAACCTATCCAACTTGCATTAACAAGACATGTGCTTAGGAAAGAATATCGCATTTGCCCAATAGCTATTGACAGCTGTGATTCTCACAAAGGCATACGTGTCTACCTTCTTGTGCTATTTTGACCTACATATTTTAATAGTTATGGGAGCACATAACTAATGCACTAAATTTAACATTACCTGTGAGGACAGTCCTTGCAGATCTTCTGATCAGAGAAGATTCCTTGAAAAGTATTCTTAAATATTTGGTCTCTTCCTATTTTCTGTTGGAGATGTAAAGTTAGACATCAGCTGGATATATTGCAGAGTGAAAGACCAGAGTGAAAGGGTTGTTTAGTCTGGAGAAGAGAAGGCTGAGGGGAGACCTTATCGCTCTCTACAACTACCTGAAAGGAGGTTGTAGTGAGGTGGGTGTTGGTCTCTTCGCCCAAGTAGTTAGCGATAGGACAAGAGGAAATGGGCTCAAGCTGCACCAGGGGAGGTTTAGATTGGGTATTAGGAAAAGTTTCTTCACGGAAAGGGTAGTCAAGCATTGGAACAGGCTGCCCAGAGAGATGGTGGAGTCACCATCCCTGGAAGCATTCAAAAAATGGGTAGATGTGGCACTTTGGGACATGGTTTAGTCTAGTCTACCCTTGACTGGTTTAGTGTGGACTTGGTAGTGTAGGTTAATGGTTGGACTGGATGATCTTAAAGGTCTTTTCCAACCTAAACGATTCTATTCTATGATTCTACCAAAAAAGCAATAGACATTTTAAACTTCTGAATACTATGTACATTATAAAATAAGCCAAATGGCTCTCTGCCTTCTTTTGTGAAGAACAAAGGAGAAAGAGATAAAAGGTACCAAGGAGATGCATACAAACAAGGAAAGAAATCCCTGAGGTTTTTACCTTGAGGTACTCATCCATTTGATCTATAAGACTGGTGAAGAACTCATAAGCATCCTGTTGCTCTCTAACATAAAGTTCCTTATTCCACATCTTGAAAATCTATATAAAGTATAAATATATATAAAAAGGTGGTTGTTTCATATACATATCACTAAAGAAAGTGATTCCTAGAAAGAAATTTGTTATTTTTACATGTTTGGACTTTTTGAAGTAGAACTTACTTTATCTCTAGAAATTCTGCAATGAGAAAAGGCTGAATAAATGATAACTGGTTAAGTAGGAAAGGTATGTATTATAAACAAAAAGATGTAATACCTTCCAAAAGTTCTCAGGTACATAATACTGTAGCTTGCTTTCCATCAAATGACCAAAAAGAGATTGAACTTGATAGAACACATTGTCATCTGGATTGTCTGTATCATCATCAATGGAAAGCAAGGCCTGGAAGGAAACAAACTTATTAAATTGGTTCTTGGCAAAATTATTACTGTAAGTTGTCATGACACACAGCACAACAACTTATAATATATATATTTATTGTGTGTATATATTTATGCACATACACACAAAATTTTTTTTTTTTTTTTTTTTTTTTTTAAAAACAATTCATTTACAAATGGTGCTAAGATGAACTTGCAATTCAGGTGACAGTAATTCCAAGAAGAGGACTTTACTGGATGTTGAATCAATTACCTCTGGGAGACCAGGCTGCATGTATAGCTGCTGGAAGACGGCATTCATGTAACAAGTAGCACCACCATTCTTCAATCCCACAAACCCTGAAATGGAGCGACTATCCACTGGTGGAAGATACTAGAATGACAAACACATTTTTTGTACCAGTAAGTTATAAAAAGCGTAAGACTCCAACAACATACTATAGCTTTTATAACCACCTTTATATAAGCTGTTAAGAGCAATTTAATAGAAAACCAGGAATATAAATTCTGAAAGATTACAAGAGCCCTATATTTGGTCATTTAGATATTTAACACTTTGCACAAAACTGTTCAAAATAGCCTAAAATGTATCTAAACAAAATTGGTGATATTTAGGAAATACTTCTTTCTTATCCAGATAATAACTGACAAAGACTCACTGGAGTATTTGCTTCTGGGGAAGATCAAATGGGTCTGCGTTTACTCTTACCTGCTTTTTTTAATTTTAAATTGAAGACCATGGAAATTTCATGAATGGAGCAGTTAAGTAGATCATATACAGTACTCCAAACCACGCTAATACAAATTAAAAAAAAAAAGATGCCTTGCTTACATCAAACTCCTTGGTAAGTGCAGGGTCACACTGGTGATGCATAGAAAGCAGCTCCTTTGTAATAAGCTGGAGATTGGAAGGTGAGCTATCAGCCAGCATTACTAACACTTCATAAGCAGCTAATCGGCTATCTGCTGTACTGCACCTAAAAAGAAAACCACATTTGGGATCTATTTCGTAGATGACTCAATTATTTCTAATTCCAGAAAGCCGTATTACTCAGAACAAGTGACAATTAATGTTCAAAAGGAACACTTTAAATAATAAAACACTCCTGAGAGACTGCAGAGTGCTGTTTTTTCTTTCTTGGGGAAGGGGAACAGGGAAGAATTGAATCAGAAGAGCAGCACCAGGAACACTCCTTTAAATAAACCTCCCTTACTGACATGGACACCTGTTGTTAACATTCAGTAGCAAGGAAAAGTAGGTGCCCTAAAAAGAAGACACAGAATTGGTTGTATGTCTGAGGACAGCCAGATACTCTCTCTCACTGTAATGCTGATGGAGACATAATGACTTATTTACATGGAGACAAGCTTTGAAAGAGCTCAACCAGGTAACTTACTTGCTACAAGAGGTGACCTCAGACCTAAGCTGCACTAGACCAGTACAAAACACTCCTACTTAGCTCTTTTCAGTGGATCAAACACACCAGCCCTTTCTTCTAAAGGCCAAAGAAAAGGCTTCATTTTACTTTAAGCAAATGAAAGAGCATGCTTGAGATGAATTGCAGTGGAGCAAAGCTGGAGCAAAACACTAAAGTGTAGCAAGTCCCATTCAGTTCAGGGGTTGCTAAATGCTCCACTGGAACCTTCTTCAGGGTTTGTGGAAAGGCAGTGTGGGTATGCCTGATCCAACTCTAACAACAACTAGTCAGTGTAATGCAAGCAATCCAGCTGCAGCAGCACAAAACCCCACACAAGCTAATTTACCCATCCCTTCAGGTATTGTATGGCAATAACAGAAGGCAGGTGTAACAGGAAAGAGAAAGCCCCCTCTTTTTTCCCCGTTTGATGTATTACCAGCTATCTCAGGTGCAAGGAGACTTGCTTGGCATTAGCTTTTTACAAAACACAGTTCTTTTGAAGGGAAAAAGAAAATAGCAGAACTTTTGAGATTCTCATTTGTAAGGGGCTTGGAAAGTTAATTTTCTGCTCATGTTCCAATTTAGCCAACTTCCCAAGCCATGATGAGCTAAAGGAGTACTCTTTGGACTCATGAAATCAGCACTCAGTTGTGCTTGCAGTTCATCTTTGATTTAACAAGCACAGACTCTGGAAGTACAGAAAAGCAAATATTCTGGGTCACACAAGAACTTAAAAATGCTATTTGGACACTTATGTAGGAAATGTAGAGAACTGGAGAAAAGCTCCAACATTGGTATTAAATCCTAGTATCTGTAGCCCCAGCGCGACATTTGCATTCATGAGATCTAGGACAAAACCCAACATAAACAGAATAAACCAATTTTTACTTTGGATGAAAGTCTTGCTGACTGATTGCAGCACTGCCTGCTGGAGAATGGCTATTCAGAATAATCCTGGATGCTCGGAAGAGGAAATCATCCAACAATGGCTTAATCAGAGATGAACCTGTAACACAGTAATGCACACTGACTGTTAAATACTTACATTATCACTGCAAATGTCAAAAGGTGTTCTATATCAGCAAAATCACTTAATAGCACCGCATCAACAAAAAACGTATCCAAATACTTCATCAAATGTCAAAGGTACAACAAAGGTACTACCAAAATTACTCCTTATAGCTCTGTACCACTTCTACCCATGTATTATGTCTTCACATGTACTGTCTACTGACCAAATCACCTGTTAGTGCTACACAGAATTCACACTAGTCACTTTAGAGTAAACAGGAATACCTACCAACCATTTCCTTCTCTGCCCCGCAAAGTGAAAGGAGAGTCTTGATGAGCCTCAAGTGTCCTGCTAACAGGATGTTATCAGCTTCACTGGTCTCACACTCAGCTGTGCGGTTGGGTTCAAAATTGTCTAGCCAAGTGATCTCATCTTCTAACATGGCAGCTGGGCTTATCTTTAGCTGTTCCATTTCTGATGCTACAAGAGAAAAAGAAAACCAAGAAAAATTAACAACTCTATAAATGCAGAATATAAATACAAAGAGTTTCAAACAGTTTGGTAACGGTCTAGTTTCCCCCGCAATGTGTACAAAGTGTACCTTCGACAAAGGAACTCATTTCACCTTCCAAAGGGAGTGAGCTGCCTTGCCGTTACTGAATGCCAAGAACAGTCCATGCCAGGCACTAACACAGGAGAGCCAGCACACTGGCAGGTCACATCGAGTACATGGTGTAGTAACCCCTCCATGAAGGCAATTCTACATCTTGTCTACAGAAGGAAGACATGCTTGGAAGCTGCAATCAGAATGACATGTGTGCCTGTACATACTTACACGTGAGGTCATCCAATAACTGACATCTCAGGTCAAAATATTCTGTACACTGGGACAAAAGTCTGAAAGAGGTACAAATAGAAGAAAGGTTTAATTTAAAATCAGAAACTTTTTTCTAAGCAGTTGCCTTTAAGGCCTGTGTGCTCTGTCCATCTAATCCAAAATAGCATAGCTATCTATGCATGCTTCTGCATGCACATGCTGCACCTTTAAAACAAATTCCTTCCCAGCAGCTATTTCTGAATGTTATGAATAACATTTAATCCTCCTTTCTTCCTTCACCTCATAACAATTTTAGTTAATTATCAGACAATTATGGAACAACATGTTTTAACTTCTCAGTTACTCCTCTATTCAAATTCCTCTAGAAATTGCTGTTTAAAGTTACTGTTAAATTAAAGAACTTTTGGCCAGTCAGGGACAAGTTAATAGGACTGACACCTACAGTCTTTACAGGTGTAACGGGTAACATAAGCAACAAGAGATCAGGTGAAGTCATGGGTCCAGACATCACTGAAAAAGCTGGAGCCTTTAGGATTGGTTTCTGATCTGGATCTATGCAGTACTATCAAAGAAATACAACGTTACTGTCATACATCCTGTCACCTCTGTGCCTCTTGCAGGATTCCAGCCAGGTTGACTGCCATGACCACATCCCAGAAAGATCAGGCCTATTTAGCAATTACCACCTCCTGAATGGGAAGTCAAATAAGCTGAACCATAACAGTTCACAGAGGAAGAGTTGCACCTTGAGAATTCAGCTTTATTTCCCTTCAATTTACATACTTTTAAAACTATCTGGAGCATGACAGGGATGTCTACTTTCAACAGACCTGCAAAGTCCTAATCCCTTGTGCCTCAGAGCTTCCACAGTGCTATTCATTTAAAAACATGATAGATTTGCTTCCTCAATAAACACACTTCTGACTTACCTCTGGTTGATTCCTCTCATGATGCTGGTTGGTGACCAAAGAGGCAGCTGGGCACCAAGAACAACATTCAGGAGAAACTGGTTTGGCTTTTGTACATCTGGATGAGCTGATGTGTCTGTCTGACTAAGGGTGTACAACTGGTCACAGGCAACACGACGAATCTGAAACAGTGTCATTGTCAAACACTAGCAGTTGCTCAAAGGTTGCAAAAAATACACTTCTGTGTTGTTAGAAATCTAACAGAAAAAACCAGACATTGAAAAGCTTGTGTAAACCAGACTATGAGCTCTGCACCCACCAGCCAGGGTTTCACTATTTATAGGGATTTAGCAATCCACTTTCATCCCTGAGCTAAAAGCTCTGATGCTTTATTAAACACAGATTATAAATTCAGATAAGGGGGAAAAGATGCAATGACTTCATGCAAAATATATGAGGTACAATGAAATGAAGTAAGCGTGACTTGAAAATATCTAGATTTTAGAATATCCAGAATAATCTTAAATCGGAAAGAATGAATTTTAGGAGGGTTCTAACATTTGGAAGGATTTTTCAAAGGTTCAGAAGAGTCCATTAAATCTTACCCAACCCAAATCTTTTGAGACGAAAGTTACTTGGAACTTTCCCATAAGTACTAGTTTTAAAGAGTTTGTCTCACCAAAGTGAACACATTTTCGTTAGACTAGCCACAGCACAGTCCTGTGCACCTCATGGATTAAACAAGCCTAAAGAACATAATACTTGTCCTGGTTTCGGCTGGGATAGAGTTAATTTTCT